CAGGTCATCTTCATAAAACTCTGACTGCTGGTGTTCCCAGACTCGAACGGTGCCATCCCACTGCAAGGAGAATAACAAAGATCACATAGGAATAAGAAAATGAATGAACGCATGCACATAAATAAGCAGAGGCTAAACATGTCAGTGAAAACAAATAGAAACAGCAATGGTGTAAAAAATTACCTTTTTTCTTTATGAATGATTTAGATAAAATGACAATTGTCATCCTAGCCAAGGAAAGTTGAAGTAAAATATGGCTTCCTCACCCAAGCAATAGAGGTTTTTTCCATTCTGCCAAACTAAACCCATTAATTTAATGGTTTCCCTAACCAGTTACATTGAAGGCATCCGATGAGTGATAACTGATCACGTGTGCAGCACCATGGCAACTCTAGATCTAATATAGGCTACAATGGCTGCTTCCTTGGCTGTAAAGGATTGGAGGGTTTAGCTGTGTTTTAATATTCAAGGAACATCTAAGTGTGGTTTGATTGTATTTTAAGTAGGGCTATCAATGTAGCTGGATGTCCATCTTTCATAAGACCTCTGTACAATACTTTTGCTACATAAACTTCACTGTTCACACATCTTTCAGCACCCAACCTTATCTCACCAATTTTAATCTAGTTATCAATTCCCACTATAAAATTTTAAAGTGTATTTCTACCTTTGCAGTCAAATTAGGATGACACCTATTTATATTTGTTACATGTTGTCATGCACATAGCATAGGGGTTGGGGAGAGAACGTTCACTTTAACCACTTTAAGACCAGGCCTTTTCTGACACTTTATTTACATGTGAAAATTGGTATTTTTTTGCTAGAAAATTACTTTGTACTCCCAAACATTATATACTTTTTTAAAGCAGAGGCCCTAGACAATAAAATGGTGGCTGCTGCAAATTTTTATGTCACACAATATTTGCGCAGCATATTTAAAAAAAAAAAAAATTTTTTTAAAAAATACTGTATTTTTCACTCCATAAGATGCACTTTTTTCCCCCAAAAAAAATGGGGGAAAATGTCCTGCTCGGCTCTACTGAAGAACCTGCTCTTTGGTCCAGCAGTGTCCTGCTTTCACCGGACGTCTTCTCTCCCCAGCGCCAGCATCATCAGTGTGGGCACCCGGCTGTGACAGCTTGCAGCCTCACAAGACTACGGGGAGGACAACCCCGCAGAAGTAGGAGGTCAATTCGGGTACCCAATCCCCCCCCCGCTTTCCAAAGGTCTGCAGGCTCTGGTCATCTCCTGTACCTCCTGTAGCGTGTCCGCAGTCTCTGGTCATCTCCTGTAGCGTGTCCGCAGTCTCTGGTCATCTCCTGTAGCGTGTCCGCAGTCTCTGGTCATCTCCTGTAGCGTGTCCGCAGTCTCTGGTCATCTCCTGTAGCGTGTCCGCAGTCTCTGGTCATCTCCTGTAGCGTGTCCGCAGTCTCTGGTCATCTCCTGTAGCGTGTCCGCAGTCTCTGGTCATCTCCTGTAGCGTGTCCGCAGTCTCTGGTCATCTCCTGTAGCGTGTCCGCAGTCTCTGGTCATCTCCTGTAGCGTGTCCGCAGTCTCTGGTCATCTCCTGTAGCGTGTCCGCAGTCTCTGTCATCTCCTGTAGTGTCCGCAGTCTCTGGTCATCTCCTGTAGCGTGTCCGCAGTCTCTGGTCATCTCCTGTACTGTGTCCGCAGTCTATGGTCATCTCCTGTACTGTGTCTGCAGTCTCTGGTCATCTCCTGTACTGTGTCTGCAGTCTATGGTCATCTCCTGTACTGTGTCTGCAGTCTATGGTCATCTCCTGTACTGTGTCTGCAGTCTTTGGTCATGTCCTCTACTATGCCTGCAGTCTCTGGACATTTCCTGTACTATGTCTGCAGTCCATTGGTTCAGAATATTTTTTTTCTTGTTTTCCTCCTCTAAAATCTAGGAGCGTCTTATGGTCAGGTGCGTCTTATGGAGCGAAAAATAAGGTACACGTTAATGAATTTAATGCACAAAAACAAAATATAATACCCAATTGCTTGGTGAAATATAAAAGAGGATGATAGGCTGAGTAAATAGATAACAAACATGTCACACATTAAAATTGCATATGCCCGTGCAACGGGGACAAACGACGTAAATATTATCCACAGGAAACACTTTAAAAGCCTTTACCATTTTAGATTTACACAGGAGGTCTGGTACTAGAATTGCAAACTGACAGAGAGAGCCGGCAAATCCAAAATCCGTGTGTTAGTTTGAATGAATATACATGAGTGATATAAAAGCAGCTGACGTGTTTCGGCACACAGCCTTGTTTACAGCGGCAGTGAACAAGGCTGTGTGCCGAAACGCATCGGCTTGCTTTCATATCACTCCTGTATATTCAATAAAAATCATCACATGAATTTTGGATTTGCCGGCTCTCTGTATCAGTTTGCATTGGACACATGGTTGGAGGGCGCCATAGAGCCTGAGCAACAGGGTTTGGATGCCATTTATTAATTACAGGTGTGGTTCCTTGCTGCTCCTGCATCTGGTACAAGAATTATTGCTCTCAATCTAACATTCTCAGTGATACCTCACATGTGTGGTGCACTCACTGTTTACATATGCATGTGGAACCAACATATGAGTACACCTTTTTTGTGCGGGCACAGGGGGGTGGGGGCATTTTTACACTTTCCCTTTACATTTTTTTAATCACTTTTAAAAGTTTTTCAAAGTGCGCATTGCTTCAGTTTTTTTTTAGGCCACAGACATCAGCTCTATGTCAGCCAGCTGCACACTCAGGTCTCCCGGGGGGGATGGGAGAGCCTGGGAGAGCCGCGGAAGACAACAGGAGGGGATGATGTCTTCTCCCACCACTTGTAAAAGCAATCCAGTGGCTAATTAGCTGCTAGGATTGCTTTTACAAGAAAGACGACCACAGGCTGAAAAAAAACACAATACTGGGATGATGCCTGCAGCTTTTACAAGAAAGCCGACTGCAAAAACAACACCAGCATGATACCTGCAGCCCAGCAATGTATCGATACATCACTAGTCCTGAAGTAGATCATTAACCATGTCTGTACTGTGCTGGCAGAACTCATCAACATGGTCAGTCCTAACAAAGGGTTAAAGATAAAGAGGTTGGGTGTCTGCAGTGTAAGTTAATGATGGGAACGCCGTGTGTTTCTTTTTTTAGTATGGACAAATTGAGATTCCACTCATTTCAAATTATTCAGAGTAGCTTTCAGTCTGTCCAGGGCCTGTTCCAAACACCTAGAATAGGAAGATATACTGTATATACACACTGATTATTTTTAGGTATGCTGTGTGAATAGGAACGCAAATTTCTCAAATTTGACTTCAAAATTGTAAATATACGTTAAGTAAAACTGTCACGTTACACTAGTTTAAACTGCATAATTCATATGACAAACAGAATGCAACATACAAATAAAAAAATATGTATTTATACACAGTATACCCAGTCTTCAGAAAAAAAGTATTTTTTAATGTAATAAACAATTTTGGAAGGTGCATGCATAGTGTAAATAAAAATGCACTCTTTACAAGTGTTGTATATCCTTATTTCGAGAATAAAATAAATCTAGCATAAAAATTTCAACAAAATAGGTGACCATAACTGGCCCACTGAGATCATTTCTGCCTGCCAGAAACAATTATCACAAAAAGTATTTACAACTTTCTCTTTTTGCAAATAATGACTATGCCTTCTATAAAAGTATCAAAACAAAAAAACAAGGAAGACAGGAGGGGTTCAAAGTGGCAGGTGACATGTTTCAGGATGAGCATTGAAGGCTCATTCACAAAAGGATGTTGCTGTAACATACAGTAAAATGCATGCAGTACTAGAAAATGCACATATTGGTGTAATGTGCTGCCATTCATTTTGACTAGCACTTCAACACCACCAGAACGAATCTGTGCTGCAAAAAAATGCAGGATGTCCTTAATTTTCATGTTAAGGTATATTACAGCCAAATCCTTTTGAATGGGATAATCGCAATAGATGTGCGCTGTATAGTATTGTGATCAGATGTAAATATGTCCTTGTTGTGCTTGATGAGGCATGTACCAGAGCTTGGCCAACCTACAATCAGATAACTTACTTCCAGGTAGAGGTGGTAATGGAATGTTTTCCAGTGTCACATGCATGCAATTACTTTCTGCCAACATGCAGTATTAAAAAATACCACATGACATGACCTAGCAGATCTTTCTACAAAACACCACAAAAAACAGACTGCTCAAAGGAATTACAAAGTTAATTCTGACAAATTGTAGGAAATCAGAAACAATCACCCAACCTGCTAGTCAGGATGAGCCAGAGCTATATTAGGTCAATGATGTCACAAAACACCCACCCCTCTAAGTACAATGGAATGCCCTGGCCGCAGCTGATTGGGTGGCAGCGACAGCTTCCTTCTGACTTTGGTCGAAATCCACGTTCAGACCAAACCAAAGCTCCTGTGTAGAGCATTACAGACCGCGCTTATCTAATAAATTAATGATTGCAGATTATTAATTTAAGAATAGAACTATAAATTTCCAAGTGTACTTTTTCTCAAGACGCAATTGTACTGTTTTCCAGTTAGCCTTCACCAAATAATAAAATCCTTTACAGAAAATTAATTACAACAAAGATTTAACAGGGTTGGTGGCACTCATAACAGTCTATACCGATTTAGAATATCTGTGCATACATACTTAATAGCATGTATAAAGCTGGGTAAATACGGGCCAAAAATTGGCCAATTTTGTAAAAATTGTACACCTCTCTGTCTGACAGAAGCCAGTTATGACCGGCTTCTGTTGAACGGGCATACTGGAAAACCAGCATTCCATCAGAATCCGATCAGCGCTGGCAGCCAATGGCTGTGAGCACGGATTAGTGTGTTCTGGCAGGGAGGGGGCGGGGGGTTGCTGTGGGAGGCCCTCTGTCAGAAAATAATAATAATAGCACAGTGGAAGAGATAGCCCGCTGGGTTGAACAAAGAAAAAACTGAACATGTGTACCCAGCCTTTAACACCCCCTTTTCTTGTTATTTCTATGATCACTCACAGAGCTGCTCACAAGCCTGGTGTCACATGGATGCCAGCTCACGTCTCGTACACATGCCTTGTGGTTGGCCAGTTTCTTCGCTATCTGACCCGTCAACAAATCATATACTGTAAGAATGGAAAACAAAAACATGTTAATGTCAGCTTATAAACTGTGCCATCAAAAGATTGTGCCTTCATTATTAGCCTTTTTTGCTGCCAGAGCTGGTTTTGCATTTTTTGCAAACACATAAAAAAAGAATTTTAGGCTAGAAGATTATGTAAATCCCCGAAACATTATATATTTTCTGAAAGCAGACACCCTAAAGAATAAAATAGTGGTAGTTCCAATTTTTTATGTCACATGATATTAGCGCAACAGTTTATGAAAAAGTCAGTAGAAAAACACAGTAAATTGAGTAAATGCAATGTATCACTCATGTTTTAGTAAACTGCACGCAGAGAGTAAACACAAATGGCGACAAACGTCAGCACCCTATATTTTCCATAGGTGACACTGTAAAAGCCCCTACAGGTCATCAGTTTAAAAGGTAATTGTGAATAATGGGCCTTGAATTATTACTCCCAATCCAAGATGCGCAGCGATATTAACATTTTCATACATGGGGGGGGGGGGGGGATTTTTTTGGGAAGGGATTTTGAGTACCACAAAAAAGGTACTTCACTCCAAACCCCCCCCCCCCCCCCAACCCGTTATTACTTGCCCTGTTGTTTCCATGCATTTTGAGTTACTGAGTCAGAATAAGTATACAGATGATAATGTCTGGTTTTACTCTGACTCTCATGGAAGCCAGGTGGTCTGCATAAAAGCCAGGTATCTAGCATTTTTAGAGGGAGGTCAACAATGACAGCACCCAAACTGTTTCAATGACAGGTTTACTTTAACCAAATGTACCCAGCTTTTTTACCAAATCTACACTTTGCCCTTTCTAAACTCCACTACAAAAGTTTTGTCTTGCAAACTAAACCTAAAATTAAGCACAGATACTGGTTATCTCCATATATTTTGCCAGCTTAGAAAAGTGTAGCCTGGGTATCATTTTTAGTTACTGATGTTATAAACATGGCAGATTATGAGCATAACAGTCTTTACTTACTGACAACTCGACCAGTAGAACACCCACTGTACACATACTGTTGACCAGTACTGTACGCAGGGGAGAAGTGACATCTGATCAAAGTGTGCAAGACTCCATGGCCACGGTAAGTCATCAGAGATGTGTCGCCGGGAAGGCGTTTCTTCCTGAGAGCTGAAAATATAATATACTACTCAGTTTACCACTTAGTAACAAGCACTTTTCCAAGTCCAGGAGCATTAAAATCAAATTCAAAGAATTGTTATTTGGTGTGTGTGTGTATATATATATATATATATATATATATAATACACATATACACACACACTCTCTCTCTGTGTGGCATTCTTACCTCTTTTGGGCACCTGCTGCCACCTGTAATCCCAGTTCTGCTGTGTTACAGCTCTGCGTGAGGCTTCAAGTCCCTCTGGTCCTGAAAACCGCCTGATATCCCACAGCTTAATGCTCTGGTCTTTGGAATTAGAGAGGAGATATCGCGCATCTCCCTGTACAAAATATTTTTGATACTTATTAATTATATATAAAGTATATAAAATTAACAAAAACTGGTGTAATCAGAGCTACTGTATTGTTTTCACCTTGCTATCAATGTAGGTGATCCCATCTTGATGTCCGGCTAACACCCCCACTGGTTTAGGATCATCCTCTCGCATTGTGCGACGGTCCCACACTTTACATAGAGCATCATCTCCTCCAGAATATAGAATGTGGCAGCTGTCATCGGCAAATGCAACAGCATTCACATCATCTTCATGAGAGTCAATCTAGATGAGCAAGGAGAGATGACTGGTGAAGAAAAAGTTCAGCATTAAAAAGCAAATCTTACAATAGAATGTCAGACAACACCCCACCTACCTGTACACAGGAGCCACCATACCAACCCACCTACCTATACACAGAGGCCCTCATACCCCCCCCAACACCCCACTTACCTATACACAGAAGCCCCCATACCCCCCCAACACCTTACCTACCTGTACACAGGGGCCCCCACATCACCCCACCTGTATACAGGGACCCCCATACCCCCAACTACCTGTACACAGGGGTCCCCATACCTCCAAACACCCAGCCTACCTGTACACAGGGGCCCCCATCTCCACCTTTCCCCAACCCATTACCCCCTGTACAACACCATATCCCAATCCCTGTCCCGCTGTCTCCCCACCTGTCCTGCTGCCTCCCTCCTGTCATACTGCCCCCCTCCATGCGACACTGCCCCCCCCACCTATCCCTTCTCAAGACACTTCCCCCTCTTGTCTCGCTGCCCTCCCCCCTACCCCACCCTCCAAACTTTTTTTAGCTGGCTCCTCGATTTAAAGCAAATTTGTCAAGGCTGATATACTATATTATTACTATACAATAAGGCCTCATGCACACAAGATGTATAAAAAAAAAAAAAAAGACAAGGTTTACAGACTTTTTTTTTTTCATCCTGTAAACGCACGTCTATGTTAGCCTATATGGTCATGCACACACAGGCGTTTACAGACATATTAGAAGAGGTGCATCTAAAGGCTGAAAATCCCCCAAAAAAACAACCACCAGCGGTTAGTAGAGGAATCTTTGGGCAGAAAAAATAAATAAATAAATACATAGAATGCGCCTAAACTAAGTTAATGGCCAATAGAGTGCATTAACTTTTTAATCTGACTTTTACTGCTTTTTTTAAGCAGCTTTTCTCCTTCCAGGAGAAAATGCATTCAGGGGAGCTGAGCAAGCACTCAGTGTGCATGAGGCCTAGGGCTACTTTCACACAGATATGTAGCAAAAACACATATGCCTTTTTTGCCTCATTTTTAACGCATTTCCGGTGTATTCTTTAACAGCCATGTGACTCAAAAACCGCACCAAAAAACACAATGTGGGTGCGTTTTTACTGTGTTTTCCATTCATTTCAAGATGGTGGTACGTTTTTGGTGTGGTTTTTTTACCGCAGCAAGCAGGATTTTTAAAACACGCAACGGACCAGAAATGGATTCGTGTGAAGAGTTCCATAGGATTTCATGGTCACATGTTTTTCTTCTGCTTTATTAACGCAGAAGTGGAAGAAAAACATATCAATGTGAAAGCAGCTTAACTGTATATTTTGATACAACAGAAGCAGATACACTATGCTTTGCTATTGCTGTAACACTCAGAAATATAAACAGCAACTTGGTTTATTTAAAACACATTCTAATATTATTCCAATGAAAAAAATGCAGCTTCCTCCTAAAACTTGCAGAGTGGACCAGTATTTTCCAACACTCAACTGATATATTTAGTAATCCTATAGAAGAATACTGACAACTATTGCTTTTCAATTTCTTTTTTTTAGTATTAATATTATTATTATTATACAGGATTTATATAGCACTAACAGTTTGCGCAGCGGTTTAAAATATAAGGGAGACAGTACAATTCCAATACATTTCAGTACAGAAGGAATAGGAGGGCCCTGCTCGTGGAGCTTAATATAACCTGACCTGGCCTAAAACTGAACTGCAGAAACCTTGAGTTGCATGAATTTACTTGTGACCTCTAAGTAAGCAAACTTAAGCCAGATATTCATGGATTGAAATTCGGCCCATTCAGCAGGGACAGGCTGAGTTTGCAATCATGTGTGGGCTGGCTGGTTGTTCAAAAGTCAATCTATTGTCAATTGACTTGTATACAACCAAGCTGTTGGAAACTTTTCTCTATATCAGCACCACCAGCTATAGCCAGCAGTGCTGACCAGTTTATTACCTGCTGTCAGAATACAAAGGCCCAGAGGAAGGATTCCCCCCATCCACACACTCAATTCAAGTCATTTTCTTTCGTTCAACCTTCTGGTTGAACAGCAAAAAAAAAAATAATCACTCATGTATGGCCAGCCTTAGACACACATAGATAAGCATTATCTGTTTGCAATTTGTAAACAAGTTCAATAATTCCACAATAGAAAAGAGAAAAACCCTTGTATCACAAAATGCTGTAAACGTATATGGAGGACCAAGACAGATTATACCTTTAGTGTTCGACGGTTCTGCTCTCGGTCATACACATACACACATCCATCATTGGCTCTGTAGAAAAAAAGTGCATAGATATTGCTGAAGACCAACTATAAATCGCAAACAATATACCAATACTGTTATATGAAAAATCCCTTCTGAATATTCCCAGTAGTTCACCCAAGTGATTTACTGGGAAACATGGCTGTTTCCAGACATATACAGAATGTTGTTTATAGTCAACCTATAATATATGTGTGGGTATATACAGTATTCTTTTATTAGCCTTCCATTTTCATGCTACGCACGTCTAATAACTACTCACCCACCAAGCACTTCCCGTCCATCACAAGATACTGTGAGGGAGAAAACAGCAAAACGTCGCTCTGAGGGACTGTGGACAAAAAGGCAATAAAATATTACAGATATTTAATTTTAGGTATCATACAGGTGTACTGGAAAGTATAAATGTAATATCTCAAAATCTTAAGGAAATCTGCACTAAAACAAATATATAGGTTGACACTGCTGAATTCATTCTGCATACCTATTTTTCGGTCAATGACACAAAAACATTGATATTAGAGGCAGCCAGGAAACTAGTATTTTCATTAGCAGATCAGCCAACGGCAGCCTACATTTTTCTTTCAGTGCAGCTTTCCTTTAAGGTTATTACCAGAGATCCAGTGCAGTGTGTGACTCCGGCTCACCATATATGTTGCAGACATGAACTAAAATGAGATAAAATGGTACATCATAAAATACACAGATGGCTTGTACAATTGCAGGAGTAAAATAAAACCCCAGTGGTAAAGTAAAACTTGCAACCAATATATTTATACACTGATGTTTTTAGTTCTTATCAATATGTTTGTAGCATTCATCTAAATCCATAGCAAGAATGAGTGAAACTGTGCAGGAATGCTGGGAACTGCCACATTATCTAGCCAAAGAAAGAATAAGCAACAGCAGCTTAAACAATAAAAAACACTCAAGATACAATTGTGTTACACTATTGCCACGTCGGAAAAAAAACAAAACAAACAGAAAATGTAAAAAATAAAAATACTAAACTGTAGCAAAAATATCTGCATGCAATAACCCCTATCCAAGTGCTTTTTTTGCCGGTGACCTCAACTAATTAATATATATTGGTTAGAAGTAATTCTGGCACATAGATTCTAGTGAAGAAAAAAAAGTGCACTATATATTACATACATATGTACTATATATAATACATACAGTTAATGCAGGCTTTTCCTGAATTTTTATCCAGCACTTTTATTTAGCAGCGATAAACTAGCACAGTATCAGTACAGGAGTACAGCAACTTCATAGCTTAAAACAAAATATCAGATTTTCTGAGGTGCCCTCTAATGGACTCCCCACAAGAAATAGGCAAATTTGGTATCTTATTGGTGTTCTGTCAGCACTCAGTCTTTTCACCCAGCAGCAGACTCCCACAGCAGACAGAGAGAAGGAGAGAAAGCCTCCAGCATCAGTTAGCTCAAATAAAACAAGGCCTGTATACAACAGAGACTAATTAGTGAGATTTGGCTAACAGGTAAGATGTGGACTTGGGAATAGAAAATTTATTCCACCAAAACTCTGCAAAGACTCCGGGCTCCAAGACCCAAAACAAAAGTCATCTGAGAAAACAGCCCTTTTATCATGAGTTGGTGACAAACTAGATGACACATTTACAGTGTTCACAATCCTAACAGCCAATAGCTCACAAAAATAAGTGTAGATGTATACAGTATACACACACACTCCATATTATACAGTCAGGCCCATAAATATTGGGACATCGACACAATTCTAACATTTTTGGCTCTATACACCACCACGATGGATTTAAAATGAAACGAACAAGATGTGCTTTAACTGCAGACTGTCAGCTTTAATTTGAGGGTATTTACATCCAAATCAGGTGAACGGTGTAGGAATTACAACAGTTTGCATATGTGCCTCCTACTTGTTAAGGGACCAAAAGTAATGAGACAGAACAATAATCATAAATCAAACTTTCACTTTTTAATACTTGGTTGCAAATTCTTTGCAGTCAATTACAGCCTGAAGTCTGGAACGCATAGACATCACCAGACGCTGGGTTTCATCCCTGGTGATGCTCTGCCAGGCCTCTACTGCAACTGTCTTCAGTTCCTGCTTGTTCTTGGGGCATTTTCCCTTTAGTTTTGTCTTCAGCAAGTGAAATGCATGCTCAATCGGATTCAGGTCAGGTGACTGACTTGGCCATTGCATAACATTCCACTTCTTTCCCTTAAAAAACTCTTTGGTTGCTTTTGCAGTATGCTTTGGGTCATTGTCCATCTGCACTGTGAAGCGGCGTCCAATGAGTTCTGAAGCATTTGGCTGAATATGAGCAGATAATATTGCCCGAAACACTTCAGAATTCATCCGGCTGCTTTTGTCAGCAGTTACATCATCAATAAATACAAGAGAACCAGTTCCATTGGCAGCCATACATGCCCACGCCATGACACTACCACCACCATGCTTCACTGATGAGGTGGTATGGTTAGGATCATTAACAGTTCCTTTCCTTCTCCATACTCTTCTCTTCCCATCATTCTGGTACAAGTTGATCTTGGTCTCATCTGTCCATAGGATGTTGTTCCAGAACTGTGAAGGCTTTTTTAGATGTCGTTTGGCAAACTCTAATCTGGCCTTCCTGTTTTTGAGGCTCACAATGGTTTACATCTTGTGGTGAACCCTCTGTATTCACTCTGGTGAAGTCTTCTCTTGATTGTTGACTTTGACACACATACACCTACCTCCTGAAGAGTGTTCATGATCTGGCCAACTGTTGTGACGGGTGTTTTCTTCACCAGGGAAAGAATTCTTTGGTCATCCACCACAGTTGTTTTCCATGGTCTTCCGGGTATTTTGGTGTTGCTGAGCTCACCGGTGCGTTCCTTCTTTTTAAGAATGTTCCAAACAGTTGTTTTGGCCACGCCTAATGTTTTTGCTATCTCTCTGATGGGTTTGTTTTGTTTTTTCAGCCTAATGATGGCTTGCTTCACTGATAGTGACAGCTCTTTGGATCTCATCTTGAGAGTTGACAGCAACAGATTCCAAATGCAAATAGCACACTTGAAATGAACTCTGGACCTTTTATCTGCTCATTGTAATTGGGATAATGAGGGAATAACACACACCTGGCCATGGAACAGCTGAGAAGCCAATTGTCCCATTACTTTTGGTCCCTTAACAAGTGGGAGGCACATCTGCAAACTGTTGTAATTCCTACACCATTCACCTGATTTGGATGTAAATACCCTCAAATTAAAGCTGACAGTCTGCAGTTAAAGCACATCTTGTTTGTTTCATTTCAAAATCCATTGTGGTGGTGTATAGAGCCAAAAATGTTAGAATTGTGTTGATGTCCCAATATTTATGGACCTGACTGTATATATTGAAGCATAAGGTCCATTTCCAGGCAAGTTTTTGTTTTGTGCACAGAGAGGAAAGGTAAGAGTCTGTTGACTTTTCATTTGTTGTTTTTGTCCAGGTTGAAGAGATTTCCCCCCTTTTCCTTTCTAAAGGTAAATGTCAATGAAGACACAAGGACAGCAATAAAAAACAGAAGATAACACCTCCACTCATAAAAAGCTTTTTACTTTTTCCTGTGCACCCTTGGAGCTACTTCTTCCTGTCCAGTGTGTCGCTGTCAAAAACAGAATTTAGGGCAATATTCCCAATGAAGACAAAGTCAGCAATAAACACATGACAGAGGTTTTAACCCCTCTCCACTCTGCTCAAACTTAAAGCAATTTGGCTGCAGTGGGGCTTAATCTGAAACAAAATAGTGGTGTGTCTGACTATCTAATGTGCCTGGCCACCTTCACTGTTTATCCAATAAAGCCTTTATGAACCAGTTCATAATTGTCAGTTTATATAGGTAATAAAAAAGTAGACAAGAAAGTAGTCAGAAACCCATATATACCTCTATACAAATCCTAACCCTAGCCTTTACTAGATTGTTTCATCACAAAATGACAATATAATAAAAATTCCTTATTTTCTTCAGCAAGTATTTATGGTTTTGGCACTTGTGGAAAGTACAGATATTCTTTCTTAAACCAGTTTCTGCTGCTAAAGGGTAGCCCAGGTGAATTACTGCTTTTCTGATTTGCTTTAAAGTGTTACTAATCCCACACCAGTAAAATCAGTCTGTATATGCAGTAAAGCATGCTTGTTATACTCACTGTGGAACCTAAGGGGTTAATACTCTACATTACAAAAAGAGACTGTTTGATCCTGACTTCTCTGGTCCTCCCCTTCTTCCAGTGTCCCCCTCCTATCTTCTGATAAGACATATCGTGTGAAGCCACTCTGCACATGCTCAGTTTAGTGTGTATTGCTAGAGAGGTTTTTTGTTTCTTGGGAGAGTGCAAGTGATCAGCATAGGGCCAATCAGCACTGTCCAGACAGAGATCAGGGATTCTGTATCCTCCTACGGCACAATAAAATCTCCTCCTACAAGCTTTAGCCAGTGCTCGGCTGGACACTGATAGAAGTCACAAGACTGCTCTAACTTTGATGAGAAAAGGTATCTAGCAGTTTATATTTACTAAAATAATTGCACTTCCATGTTCTGTGTACTGTGGGAGCCCAGGGTCCTGGGTTTAATAACACTTTTTAAGCCCAACTGAGCTTTCATCTTAACGTGGAACTAAAGTGTAAAGGCAACAAACTGTGAAGAAGCAGGGTATATATTGCAGAACAAGCATATTATGTCTCTTCTGCAAAAAAAAAAAAAAAAAAAAAAAAAAAAAAAAAAAAACTTACCTGCCTTTTCAAAGTCTTACAATGTACACTGAGCTATAAACGTGCAGCTCAGGGTACATTCTCAGCATGGTACCTGTGTGCCATGAATGAACTATCGCACATATGTGGGAGTTGCATCATTCTGCTCCAGCCATTCAAGACCACTGAAGACCCGGCACTTGGAAGAAGATGTTGGCGCTGGCAAGAGACCTTGTGGACGTTGGATTGTTTGAGTGGAGGTGAATATCTGCAGCTTTAATTCCTGCTTTCCTATCATGCATATTACAGTAAAATCTTTGGACAATCAACTTTAGGTTTACCAATTCTATGTAATGTGAGGACCTACCTAAACTATCCAATCAATCTGTAATTAGACAGGCCTCCATACTACAGTCAGATTGTAATGTATGTGGTGATCTTTACAGTTTGTTTTCTTTACATGGAAGCTACAGCTTGAGTAGAAAGCTCTGTACCTTGTCAGCATGAACTCTGTTGACTGCAGAGCTTTATGTCTGACTCAGTAAGGGGGAACATCAGACCACTGCAGAGAGAAGATTATTTTCTTACAGAGAGCAAGAGTCCTTCTCTATTGCATGCAGGCAGTGGATGGGCTTTTCTGCTCAGGATGTGGCTACTTTCTAAAAAACACAAACTGTTAGAACTACAAAAATTAACAAATTATTGTAATATGAAAGTTTAGAAATAGATTATTCTTTCACTCTGTTTTGCTAAATGCTTTCAACAACACCTCTGATGAAAGGTTTTACTCTCACTGGACTAGAATATGTAATTTCAATGTGTATGTTCTCCATGGCAAAGTTATTAGTCCTGCTGACTGATATTTGCAAGGATAGATAAAAGAAAACCATGTGTATACTGACTGTAATCGGACCAGCTAGAGTACAAGAAGTGTGCTCCATCTGGAGTGAAAGCCACATCAAGTACGCTCCAGCCCACATCTCGGGCCCGTACAGTCCGGAACTTCCTGAAGGCTCCATACCGGCAGTCATAGAGGCGAATATTTTGATCTAAGACAAATCAAGAAAATTTAAGATACATGGGGAAAGGAAAGAGATAAGAGAGAAGGAAAACATTAATATTTTGCAAGTGTTGCAGAGGAACTTAAAGCTGAATTACAGGTATGGCTATTTTTGCATAGTTACATTGGTCCATCTTGCACAAATATAACTACTGCATGTGCTATAACTGGCAATTTCTCATGAAAGCTGGGTGCAACTAATACAGTGATTGCTGCGAGCTTTTGGGCCCTGTGCCAAGGGGCTGCCCTGCTGCTTAGTGAACACAGGAGGCTGCTCGCTTGGCATCGGCCTCTAACAGAAAACAGTTTTCATTTTTCTCAATGAATGCAAAGCGTTCTCTGACTGGATGAGGTGGAGAGGAGGGGCAGTGATGTTATGATCTCCACCTCTTCCAATCAGAGTATGCTTTGCAGTGATGCCTACCACAGTGATTTCCAGCTTCTATGGAGATCAGCTAGGTATGGTACATGCATAGTACAATGGTCAAAACTAGACTAATGTAACTATGGACTAGAATTCAGCTTTAATGGACCAATTCTCTTTCGCTCATAAATTATTTTACTCTAAAGGTGCTCTTTCGCTCACATATAAGCTGGGGGAGCTCCACCCAAATCAATTTATATAAACCACTGAAAGTCAAGCTCCAAGTTTTTCTGCCTATCCTTTTCTCAGAACAGTTAATAGAAGTTCTGTAGAGTAATGCAAAAGTTGAATGAGTGACAAAGGTTAGGGTAGGAAGGACTGGATCAGAAGTTAGCATCTGGTATGCACAAGACAGGCCTTCAGATGCCCTGGGTAAGTCTGGACCTTGTGTACTGCTGCACCCAATTTAGACAAAGCTATATATGTTCCCCTGTTTGTACCCTCTCACAGAGGCAACTTGGAAGTTCCTTGTTTGGATTCTGCATATATTTTGAAAATGAGATGAAATGAAAAGAAACATGATTGAACTATTTTCATTTGCTGTACACCAGGGATGTGAAATGTGCTTTATGCAAACATAATTAGTCTTCAAGCAGTTGTTACAGGTTTCCAGTTGACATGTACTTTCTAAAGAGAAGCTACTTGGAGAAGTAATGCCACCGTAGTTTTGCAAACATCTAATTAGTTACTCTCTCTAGGATAATTTTAGCATTTCCCTCGTGGTAACAGCAATTCTAATGCTAATGGGTAGCCATGCAGACACTTTTGGCTAAATACTCAAGAATAAAAAAAAAAAAAAAAAAAAGTGAGGGGCGGTCTTCAGAATTTATTCACATTTAGGTGTTCATTTTCTCACAAGCCCAGTAGGTGAGAAGTACAATATGGCTGCTAAGTATGACACAGACACTTCCCATTACATTATGAGAACCAGAACCATAAATTATACACTGCATACAGGCTCATATCTGCTTAATTGTTACATCTAATTCTGCAAGAAAATGAACACATAGAACAGGGGGAAGTATTAGAGTTTCAAGAGATCAAATTAATTTGAAAAAAAGAAACTGTTAACAGTATAGGAAAATGGAAGAACCACTATACCCTGGCAGGCCGACATAAAGATTGCACCATCTTGAGAATATACTCCGCAGAATGCCTTTTGGGAGTATGTATCTGTGGCAGACACATTGTTTGGCAGAAAACTGCAATGAAAAGAGTTCCGTCAAAAGGGCTGCGGTAGTTGTGACGTAGATACACAGAAATTTTATTTCTCTCCACATCAGCTAATGTGCTTACCAAAGCTTTCAATTCTATTACTAAATTTAATAACACTCACTTTGAAGTCATACGGCATCGCTCTCCGTGAGAAAAACCATACCTTCCCCGCACTCTCTGAAAGAAAAAAACAATGAAAGAAATAATATAAGTGCAATAAGGAAATCACAGTCATTATCAATCAAAACAAATATAATGAAGGTAGGTTAGGAATCTGGAAAAAAAAAATTATCTGGTGCAAACGGAAAGAAAACATTTGGTGACACCTAGTGGAAAAAAAAAAAGAGCTGCACCTTACAGCTAACCGCATAAGACAACAGTTTCTGTAGTAATGGGCAGCTCCTGCACTGCCTGGAGTGCCACCACCCCAACCCTTCCCTAATATCTTCATATCCCAACTATGGAGAAAGGCCATCATTTCAATGCAATGTCTGAAGCTCCATTGACCTATCAATAGGACAGCATTGCTATGTTTTCTCACAAGCAGGGGGTTGATCGTTATACAAAGACTTTTAGAAAGTCACTATTTTTATTCTGTGATGCCAACACTGGATCTGCAGATCACAGCATAAAAAGCATGCACCTCTTAGTTTATTACATCAGATATCACCATGGATCTTCTTTAAAGATATGTCAGCAGCCTTGTTGGTATAGATAAAAAAGTCTGCAATACTACACTTAAAAGGAGAAAATACTGTTCCAGGTTCTGCAGTGCTGCTCAAATGCAAAATCCCAGAAACTTGGTCTCATAAGCACTACTAAAAACAAAGAACAATCAATTTAAGAGTTAAACCTCCCCTTCAGCAGAGATCATATGATTGAACGCCTAGGCTTCCAGTTTGAAGTGTAGCTCAGGAGAGAACCCAGAGCAGCATGAACTTGAAGCATAACACAACATAACATAGCTTTATGTTAACATAAGTCCACTTCAAAGGGCACCTCTACTTAACAGGAGGAGAACCCTGCGCTCAATTCCATATGTTGGCATAATCTGTTGATACTTGATGTCCATCTATGCTTTGAAGGCTGGTAAAAATTGTGGTCCACAAAATGGAAATATGGATGACTTCAGTGACGATTTGTAGCTTGCTGGCCCTTGGGCTTTGAAGTAAGGTATATATTCACCAAGAGGAATTTTACTGCCCGGGACCCAGAATATGACATAACTGACTAAAGAAATCCACTAGAATTATACACTCACCAGCCACTTTATTAGGTACACCTGGCTAGTGCCAAGAAAAATATCCTGCACACCATTACACCACCACCAGCCTGAACCATTGATACAAGGCAGGATGCACCCATGCTTTCACGTTCTTTATGATAAATTCTGTCCCTACCATCTGAATGTTGCAGCAACCAGTCTGCATATTCTCCTCTGAACTTTGACATCAGCAAGGCATTTTCGTCCACACAACCACTCACTGGATAGTTTCTCTTTTTCGGACCATTCTCTGTAAACCTTAGAGATGGCTGTGCGTGAAAATCCCAGTAGACCAACAGTTTTTGAAATACTCAGACTAACGCGTCTGACACAAACAACCATGTCATGTTCAAAGTCACTTAAATCCCCTTTCTTCCCCATTCTGATGCTCGGTTTGAACTTCAGCAAGTCATCTTCACTACGTCTAGATGCCTAAATGCTTTGAGTTGCTGTCATGTGATTGGCTGATTAGCAATTTGTGTTACCAAGCAATTGAACAGGTGTACCTAATAAAGTGTCGGGTGAGTGTATTTACCCCTCCCAAGCAAAGATGCCTTGTGTAGTCAGCAAACTTGAACTGTAGTCATCTATAAGGGGACAAGCCCTTTGAATTCAATAGGAAATAACTTTTAACATGGCATGTGCATGGCTCAAAGTAGAATTACCAAAGACCCCATAGGTTTCACTTTTTTTTTGACTGGTTGCAATATGTCTAGTTTCTGGTGACATAGTAATAAGAGATTCCGCCATAAAAAGACAAACTTTAAAAAAAAGACAGATAAAAACATCAGGTTTCTTTCATGTGAACATGGCCACAGATGGGCTTGTAGGAGAGAGCAGCTTATGTAAAATTCCTGCTGGGTAAACCATAAATGTAATGTATGTGTAACACATAAATGTTACCTTGAACAGCTTACCTCCAACAGTTGTCGGGTAATATTCTGCTCTGTGCGTGCGCTTAACCTCCCTGTAGCTAGTAGAACTTGGGTTCTGATCTGGCTCTGATCCAGTACAGCAGTGTCTGGAGCTGGATCAACTACAGGAGGCAACCATAAAAAGCAACAAAAACAAAAATATTTAATAAATATAAAAACATAATTTTCAATAAATAGGGCAACTTTAAACTATAAAATATATACAAGACAAAAATATTCATATTAAAAAGATGCAGAAATGAATCGACTATTAAACTTATTATCCAGTAACTACTTTGTCACAATGAATAGAAGATTTATGCACCAATTGGGACTTTACACTTTTTATAAGATTTCACATATGATTTTTTGTCACTATTAGTTACTTTGCAGTTGGTTTGAATAAACCACTGTGTTGCTATAATTAATTCATCATTATAATCGTAATATAACCTTATACTATATTATTTATTGGTCAGTCACATTGGTTGTTGTATTTATGTCACTATTTTCATTCATGTTATTTTTACTTATGATTGTATGAGTGCTTTGTGGGGTGTTTATTTTTAGTCGTATTTTGTGAGAAGGTTATTTTTGAGTAGCGCAGCATTTATTATTATAGGTACTTATATAATGCCATCCAATTTACACAGCCCTTTACATATATATATATATTTATATATTGTACATTCACATCAGTCCCTAACCCTCAAGGGGCGTACAATCTAAGGTCCCTAACTCACATTCATACATACACATACTAGGGCCAATTTAGACAGGAGCCAATTCACCTACCAGCAGGTCTTTGGAGTGTGAGAGGAAACCGAAGTACCCGGAGGAAACCCACACAGGCACAGGGAGAACATGCAAACTCCAGGCAGGTGGTGCCATGGTTGGAATTCAAACCAACGACCCTAGTACTGCCAGGCAGAAGTGCTGACCATTTAGCCACTGTGCTGCCCATAGCGCAACATCATGTTTTAATTTCATCTACTTTATTACAATCTCCACCTCAGCCAGAGGAAGCCTTGTATTCATTCATAAAAATAGAAAGCTTCTTTTGAATGGTTGAGCAGCACTCAGTCTGACTCCATTTTGTTCTTGGAAATGGACTGGAAGTCCCCATCCTGCTGCCAACACACAGCACTGTATGTAGCTGCTGATAGAAGGTGCATGTGTTAGTGAAGGAAACAGTTCATTTGGACCAGCTTGGTCCAAACAAACTCTTTCAAGTTACATGAAACCTGAAGTTAGGTTTTAATTCAAGAACTAAACCTGAGGCAAGTATATAAATTCACAGCTGAACAAAATATTATGGGCACTGTTAACCACTTTTCTACAGGGGCATTTAATTTTTCGCACACGTTAAAAATGTGATTTTTTTTTCTGCATTCTTACCTGTAAAATTGATTTTTTGGAGTACACCACAGGACCCAGAGCAGGTTATAATCAATACTATCTGGTTATGCACCACCTATAGGTGAATGGACACTGAGAGATCATTCAAACAGGAAGTCCTACCCTATATAACCCCTCCTATATACAGGAAGTACTGCAGTTTTGTAGCAAGCAATGAAATTATAAAAAAAAGTAGGAGAGGGACCTCTGTGTCCTGTAATATGCTAAAAATATGGATTTTACAGGTAAGATTGTAGAAAAAAAATTCTAATTTTCTTTATCATACATCACGGGACACAGAGCAGGCTATAATCATTACTATCTGGGATGTCCCAAAGCAATACATTTGAGGGAGGGGAGACACAAATCCCAGACACCGTCATCAGTCAAAAGGACCTATTCTGCTGTCTGTAAGACACTGTGGCCAAAGGCAGCATCCTCTGTAGTTCTAACATCAACTTGGACGAACTTCGTGAATGTATGTACTGAAGACCAGGTTGCAGCCTTGCAATTCTGAGCAACCGAAGCCTGAAGGCGAATTGCCCAAGAGGCTCCTATGCTTCTAGCAGAGTGTGCTCTCACTTGAAAGGATAGAGTATGCAGCAATCATTCCCTTGCCAAATGTGGACTGGGAAAAATAGAAAGGCAAGACACTGTCCTGATTCAAGTGAAAACTAGAAACCACTCTAGGCAAGAAAGATGGATGAATGAGGAGGCAACATCACCTTATCATAATGCAAGACCAAGAACAGCTCCTTACAAGAAAGAGCGGCCAGCTCTGACACTCTTCTTTCCGAAGCGATAGTCTTTTGACTCGGAGAGGTGGCTTCTTTGGTTACTTACGGAATCTCTCAAATTGGTTCAATAGGTGGCTTCTGCAAGGACAGCCAAAGACCACGTTCAAGTCCCAAGGACACAAGAGTGGCCTTATAGGCAGGACTGTCCGCATTACACCCTGCACAAAGAATGAACCAAGGAGTGAGAAACAGTCTCTGGAAAAAAAAAAAATGGATAGAGCCGAAATATGACCCTTAATGGTACTTAAAACCAAATTCAATTTCCCTCTGGATAGGAGAAAGGACAAAAATGTCCCATTCACATATTTCCGCAAGTGCCACTTCCTAGTTTCACACCAGGCAAATAAGATTTCCAGGTCCTGTAAAGGAAGCTCCCTGGAGCCGGCTTCCTAGAACTCAACAGTGTGGAGACAACTGGACCCAAGACTCTCCGATCCTTCCAGACCTGGGCTTCAACTGCCAAGCCTTCAATCCTAGCGATCTTAATGCAGGATACAAGAAGCATCCCCTGACAGATTCACTATGTCGGTGTACCAAGCCCTCCTGGGCTAGGACGGACTACCACTATTATCAGTGTATTATCAGTGTTACTACCTCCCAGATCCTGCGCAAAAGACATGGCAATATTTGAATCGGGGGGAGGAATAGATTAGGGAGAACTAGTTCCTAAGGTGTTACCAGTGCATCTACTTCTATTGCCAGTGGGATGCTGGTCCTGGCACCACCCAACTAGCCAGTAGATCCACATCCAGAGTCCCCAATGCTGGCAGATTGCAGAGAATGTCTCGGAATCCAGGGACCTCTGAGCCGGTATTAGCTGCTGACGACTTGGAAAACAAAAAACCCTGTCAGTTTTCCATACCAGGAAGTGTACTGCTGACAGAGACGGCACCACAGCACCACAGAATGTGGTTCATTTTTTCCTGAGCCACACAACTCCTGGTGTCACCCTGGTGGTTGATATATACCATTGCCATGGCATTGTCGGACTGAACCCTGACCACAACCAGTGTCACTGGCTTGTCCGTCCAATAATCCAGAGCAAGGTGTACTGCCCAAAGTTCCAAGAAATTGATGGGCTGTATTCTTTCCTGTGGAGACCAAGTCCACTGAACTGTAGCCACCTGCCACAACAACCCCCCAACTGGATAGACTGACATCAGTGCTTACTATCTTCCATATCACTGGTAGGAAAAATTCAAACTCTGCAATACCCCTAGGAGAGAGCCCTCCAGCAATCCAATTCTTGGACCTTCATTTTTCAGACAGAATGTTCCTCTACAAAAGACCGTGAGTGGAACTGCAAACAGGGAACCGCTTCAATGCAGATACCATTTCCCCAGCAACTTCATGCAGAGATGTAACGAAGAATACCTCTTGCTCTTTATACTTCACTTTAAAACTTGCGACTGCTCCCTGAGCAAAATATCATTGACGTATTCTGAGATTGACACCTCCTGCATCCTCAGCAAGCCCAGCACTTGGCTAGAAGCTTTGTGAACCCATGGGGGGCCGTGGCCAGCCCGAAATACTTCTCACAACACAACAGCCTCAGACTCTGGAGGGGAAAAGCTTACAGCACCTGGTATTCCCAGGCAGTCTCCCATCCAAGTACTAACCAGGCTTGACCTTGCTTAGCTTCTGAGTTCAGACTAGTTCAGGGGTATGCGGCCGCTGTCCACTGCAGCTGCCAAAACCGCTGCCAGGAATAGCTGCAATGCCAGACAAACGCAGTGGCCTAGATATACCTGACACCAGTGGTCTATCGGGAAATTTGAACACCTCCAGATTACTACCCCCCCCCCCCCCAAGTCCACTAGACCTGAAGGCGGTGCACCTGCCTCCTGTTGCCGCCCCCTTCTAGGACCATTTAAATCATATAACAGGTAAATAATGTAGCAACTATATTTGCCAAAACCTAAATATGCAGTCCCACATGGATGCAGGTCCATAATCATTTTGGTCTACAGCTACGCAATCATGCAAGTATGCAAGCATGCGGCTATGCAGGTATGCAGTTAAGCAGGTATACAAGCAGGGGTGTGGAAATTTTTGAAAAAACTACTTGTCCAGAGACTACATCAGTGTCCCAATCCCTCATGGCAATCTACTTGTCCTGATAAAAAAAAAAAAACCATATACATTTTAACCAAAACCGTATTAAAATCTGAGGTGCTGATAGAAATGTCTGGGGCTTTTAAAACCAAAAAAGGGGCTCTATGGCTACTTAAATGTGAGTTTTTCTTAACATTGCACATCCTCCCCTCCCTGCCTGTCTCCAGCACCACACCAATGGACTAGCAGGAAGGGAAGAGACCTTGCAGTGTAATGAGTACCGATTGGGTACTCGTGAGGAAAGGGGAGTGTCGGGCTTATCCTTTATCCCCTTTGCTGCCAGAACCGTTTTTGCGTTTTAGCACACGTTTAAAAAAATAATTTTTGGGTTAAAGATCACACAAAACCTACAAAAATATATTTTCTGAAATCAGAGACCCTAGAGAATAAAATAGTGGTAGTTCCAATTTTTTATGTCACATGATATTATTGCAAAGGTCTAGGAAATGCAACACTTCAGTAAAAAATATACACAAAATTAATTTTAGGGCACGTGCATCACCCTATTCTTTGGTAAAATATAAAAGATGAGGTTCCACTGAGTAAATAGATATCCTACATGTCAAACCTTAAAATTTGCTTGCGCTCGTGAAATGGGGACAAACTTCAGTACCCTATATTTTTTTATAGGCGACCCTTTAGAAGACCCTTATAGGTCATCAGTTTAATGTTCCGGAGGAGGTCTGGTGCTAGAATTATTGCTCTCATTCTGGCATGTGCGATGATACGTAACGTGTATCTCAATCGACGTTTTTATGTGTAGGCACCCTGGCGTGTGCTTTTACTTTTGTACGTGCGTGTATGTGGGGAGG